AATGCCTGGCACTTGTATGAGCTGTTATGTTTTGGACTATTGGATTAACTATTTGCAACATTTTGCTGATATTTGTATCTATTCCTATTTGGATATTTATGAACTGTATCCGGTATATCTAACCTTAGCTGTTTTCTTCACAGCATTTACTCACACCACCCACTGTTTAGTCGACCTACCCCTTAGACTATTTTGGTGTGCTGCTATTGATTTTCAAGTAGTGTGTGTGTATATATGAGTATTTCTATCTACTCATGGTTGATGCATTAGATCTTTGATCTTTTTGCTTATTTCCTTTTCTATTGTTTAATCAAAATGTCCCTTTATTTAAAAGCATAATTCTTGTTTATGCCTATAAATTTTAATGTTGATAAAGGGGTGTCTCTTTTCCAAAAAATACTTAGCCTCCAACTTGGCTAGTTTGTAGATCACGAAATTTGTCTTGCATGTTTTCCGATGCCTGATATCATATATTTTTTTTACCTGTGTGTGAATAATTGAAGAAGTGCCCTAGGGTCATGTGTCCATAAGTGACACATCCAAGGCACATCCTTTGTTTTGCTGTACTTGTGACCAGGGGGGTGTATTTACCGCAACGCTGACAAGGCATTTGCCTTGGGCAGCACATTTTATGGGGCCGCAAAAAAAGCTGCCCCCAATCGCCCTGGCAAATGCCTTGCCAGCCTCTTGTCCTCAGTAGCCTAGGAGCTGGCCACCTCAGTTCTGTTGAGAATACATACATGTATGTAGAAATGATATATTCCACATCTGAAATTGCTTTTCTGTTCAACTGCCCCTCATTTCTTACTTTTTTCGCTTGCGGGAAGAATAGTAGTACTATCCATGATTTTAATTGTGGGCTAGGCACAGACTGCTATCCTGAGGTTTAAACGCGCATATGCACGAAGGAGGTGCATTTTCAGTATGGAGGCAGTCACAGGAGGCTCACCACTCCAAAAATAGGGGTAAGATACACTAAAGATACGAAACAGAAAAGGGGGTTGAGAGACACAGATGAAAATGCTTTGGTGGGGATGGGGGGGGGCGGCATCTTCGCCTGTGTACACACAAGTCCTTGCACTGGCCCTGCCCATAGGAAAGCATTATTCAGTGCTTTCCTATGGTAAAAAAAAATCTGACGCTGGAGGTCTACTAGAGGAGGAGTTAACCTCAGAGGTTATTAATCCACTTTCTCAGAAACTGTACCCTACCACTGTAGGGTTAAGGGACATAGGACATTGCAGCCAGACCACTTCAATGAGCTGAAATGGTCTGGGTGCCTACAGTGTCCCTTTAATTAGCATGTAGCAACATGTTGCTATAGTACAGACATAGAGAGTTTTGTACTTCTATTACTCAACTTTTTTTCTCTCTCTACAGGAGAAGGAGTCCATGTTCACTCTTGCCTTCTTGCAGCTTGTAGTCCGTATCTGGCCAATCTCCTCTCCTCTCTTGGTGAGATGACAGATTTAAGCCCTGATTCCACTAAAGACGTAGGATGCAATAGAAGAGTGCTGAATATGCCTGGGTTCTCCAGCCACTGTCTATTTATCTTGGTTCGCTACATGTATACAGCTGAACTGGTAGTCTCTCCTTCAGAAGCTCATGACGTGCTGAATGCAGCAAGGCTACTTCATATCCCAGAGCTAGAGGGATTGAAGCTGGAAAGCGGAAGACTTGTGAGATCTGATTCTGGTAGGAAGTTAAATAGGGAATGCCTTGATAAACGAATGCTCAGTTTGAATTCAATGTCTGAGTGCAGCGGAGCCAAACAGAAACAAACCGTTCTTCAGCCAAGAAAAAACCTGCTAACAGGAAAGTTAGTGGCTGGGATGAAGAGAAGTAAATATGAGACCACAGTAACAATTAATCTAGTAAAAGACACACAAAGCCGGACCGATGTGTCAGAGAGAACTGGAGAAATGCACAGCAGATCGTCAGAGCAAAGCATACACCTTCAAGATGAAACAGTAGTGACTAACCTAAGCAAATGTATGCAAATGGCTATTAATGAAAAAAAACGAGATGTCTGTAGAGTAACAAAGCTAAACTTAGAACAACAGGGTATTGCAGCCAATCAAATCATTGGTCAGCAAGGTGAAGTGGGTATGCTAAGCCTAGACCAGCAAAATGAAGCAGCTAAATTAAACTTAGACAGGCAAAATGAAGTGGTTGAGCCAAGCCAAAACCAGCACTACGGGGTAGCAGCACTAAGCAGAAATGATGAGATCGAATCAAATAAACTAAGTAAAAATGATCCATGTGTGGCAGATAAACTAAGCCAGGAAGGGCACAGCGGTGCAGCTATGCATTTCAAAGGTGAACAAGGCAGAGATGATGAATTAAGTGGAAATAAGCAAGGTAGAGGAATTGATTCAAGCAGAAATCTGCAAGGTATAGCAACTTTACCGGAGCAAAACTTAAAAGAGCAAAATGAAGCAGCAACCACTGATTTACACCCAAGTGAACAAGGCAAAGGCTTGAAAACCAGACTGACTGGGAAAGTCAGAGAAGACGACCGCAGTGGAGCTGATCAAAATAGAGATAAGCAAAGCACCACAGCTGAGCTAAGCAATGCTGTGCACTATATAGCAGTAGAGACTACCCAAGCTGTAACTTGTTTAGACGGAGAAGAGCAAGGCAGAGAAGCAGTGACAAAACAAAGTCAAAACGAGAAAGGCAAAGTAGCCATTTCTGATCTAAGCCAAGGGAAAGAAACGACAAATGGAGAAGGCTTAGGTCAGCAAAGTGGCTTAGATGTAGCCGAGCCAAATAAAGTACAGCAAAATGCAGCAGCAGCCTCTTCATTAAGGCAAAATGAGAGTGGCTTGGAATTTCCTGTTTATGTATGCAGTGAAAAGCAGTGCGAGACAGCTGTGACTGAATTAGGTGAAATAAGGAAAGACATCTCAGCTGTGACTGAGCGAAGCCATGGCAAGAAAACCAAAGCCATTTCGACGGAGTCACACAGATTAACAAAAAGCAAAGCAACTGTTACAGAACCAAGCTGTGATGAGAAGATAGGCACGTCTGTGGCTAAGCAGGAGCAAGGCGAGAGTGACAGAGCAGGTATTGTGGAGAGGGATGGTGTGTCTGATCCCGTGCTACATGGAAGCAATAAAGGAAGACCATATTGTACTGCTCTAAACAAAGATAATAAAGATGGGACTATAACTGAGCTAAGTAGAAACAAAAAGGTTTGTGTGGTTGAGGTTAGCAGCAGAAAGAAACCTGAAGCAGGTGTCACTGAGCTACTCCACGATGAACTTGTTGGATTGCCTAAATCAAAATTGGGTAGGAAAAAGGAAGGTGGAGCAATAATGACTGACTTAAGCAAAGATCAGGATGGGGAAGCAGAATCAATGGCAAAACTAAGTACAAAAAAGCAAGATGAAATAACAGTGGCAGAAAGCAGGAAACAAAAACGTGAAAGAAAGCCAGTGATGTCTCCAAATAAATCTAGACAGGGAAGCGTGGTAGTGATTATGCCAAACAAATGTGATCAGGCAAAAGCACTAGAAATGGAAAAATCTGGAGACAAACAGGAGATAAACACTGGGAGGGGCAGAAATGTACAGAATAGAGATGCCTTTGTAAATTTAGATAAGTCGATGAGAGAGGGAGAAATAAATGGTAGTGAGGGGGAGGCAAGTGAGATCAGTAAAAAGAAATTAAGGAATACAGATGAGGCCAGAAGAAACAGCCTGGGTTGTGCTATAAAAACAAGCACTGAAATGCTAATGACAGCTGTTAATTTAAGTACAGACAAGCCGCTTGTTACTGAAGTTGCTAGAGAAAGCAGAATTGCATACACAAGAACTGCAGCATCTGAAAAAAACTATTCTCTGCTGTGCAAAGAGTCTATGAAGAGTACAGAAAGAGTAGACTTGGATACAAATTTTGAATCAAGCTTGGAAACTGAGGTTTGCTCATACCAAGAGAAACCTGGAAAGGTATTGGAAAACAGAGACTTCCAGATAAAATCCCCCAAGGCAATTGTTGGATTACCCGAAGCAAAACTATGCAGCAACCAGCAAGTTGGAGCAGTAGTGACGATGGAGTTAAGCAAAGATAGGCAAGGGGAAGCAGCGGCAGAAAGAAGTACAAATATGCAAGATGAAATAACCGTGGCAGAAAGTAGGAAATGCAAACGTGGAAGAAAGCCAGTGACCTCTCCATATAAATCTAGGCGAGTAAAAATGTTAGTGGCTGTGCCAAACATAGTTAATCAGGCAAAAGCACCAGAAATGGAAGAATCTGGAGACAAACAGGAGATGAACACTGATAGCAGAAGAGATGGACAGGATAGAGAGAACTCTGTAAGTTTAGAAAAGCAAGTGAGAGAAGGAGAAACCAATGGTACAGACAGCCATGGTAGTGTTACAAGCAGCCAAATTCTGATTAGTGCTGTTGAGTTAAATACAGACAAACAATCTTTAGCGGAAGATACTAGAGAAAACAGAGGTGCGTGCAGGAAAACTTCAAAAGCTGAGAAAATCTATCCTATACTGTGTAAAGAGTCTATGGAAAATACAGAACGAGCAGAGTTAGAAACAAAATTATCAAGCTCGGAAACCGAACCTTGCATGTTTCAAAAGAAAGCTGGAAGGACATTGGAAAACAGAGAGGTGCTGACAAATTCTCCCAAGGCAACAAAAGAAGGAAAAAAGACTGTGACTGAGGCTAGCAGTGTCGAGCAGGTATGTGCAGTAAAAAATGAGGTGACACAGGCTAACAGTGTCAAGCAGGTACGTGATATAGAGAATAAGACGAGTATAAATATGCAGTTAAAAGCTGATGAGACTAAAGCATGCAGAGGCATCGTAAAGAAAACTGCAAAGGTGAAAAAAAAATGTATGCAAGGCAAAAACCACCTGGAAGGAGTAAGTCAGGAAAAGAAAATTGATGCAAGCCAATCCTTGCATATCAAAAGAATGAAGGCAAAAGGAGGCATGGAAAGCCAATTAAGTGTTGTAGGAAGCGGAGACACTCAAAAGAAAATGCCTGAAGAAAGTGAAATCTTTAAAGAAGACAGAGAGATACCTAACGTTGAACAAGGGGTAGAAGCTGAAGAAGCTGACAGCAATGGAAACAGCAGTGTAAAAGTGTTTGGTGCAGAAACAAGCTGTGGCAGCCAAAATACACAAGTGGGTTTTCTTCAAGACTTGGGCTTTGCAAAACCTAATATTGTCAAACCTATCAATGTAGGTCTTGATGTTTCTTTTCAGTATTCAGAGCAGCACTACAAGGAGCCTAATCCTTCCAACCAAGTAAATATGCAAAAACAAGCTATTGAGAAAGCTAGATTATATGATTATCAGTTTAGGAATGCTATGAACTCTGAAGAAATTAAGAGCAATACCGATCATAAACAGTATGTGAAAAGAGAGTTATCTGAAAAGCTATTAACTGCAAAAGATGGCTTATGTAGTGATAACGTAGAGGACAAGGGGGAATCTGTAGCTAGAGAAAATCGTCCAGAAGGGTTAGCAAATGTGACTTCTCACTGTAGTGAAACTGTGATCATACATCCTACAACATGTGCAGTAAAAGAAGATTGCGTGGCGTTGGTGTGTACAGAAGTCGCAGCTACAAATACAAATTGGCCAGATCCCATTAGAACATTATCGGAGGAGATGCCAGAGAAACAGTTTGGGGATATACTTACATTTCAAGCTACAAGTGAACCACCCAATCATGATAAGAATGGTAACAACAGAAGTAAAAGAAAATGGAGTTCTGTTCAACTTGAAGAAGATGTAAAGGCAAAGAAAATAGGGTCTACAAAAATTATGAATGGGCCCTACTTAGAAGCAGAAATGGAAAAAGAGCCAGAGACTTTAGGAGAAAAAGATCAACAGTTGAGTCAGCTGGAGGAGTTGCTAGAAGAAATGCTAAATGACCCATCCCCTGATTCTCCTGAATTGGATGTAGGGGGAAACAGCCCTGTGATTACATGGTGTGTGAGCATGTGGCCTGATCCATCATCAGAGTCTGACACAGAAATAGACGTGTTGCATTAATTAAAAAAAAAAAAAAAATTCGGACTCTACTTTAAAACCAGTTTTACTGAACTGAGAACTTGTGGAGAATGAATACCATGCCAGTCAAAATGTTAATTGTTTGTTTGATTATAACAAATTCACTGATATTTAAAAAAAAAAAAGGCTTCACTGCATTATGGTTTCAATATTGTAGCAGAACATTAACAGATTTGTGCAAATTAGTGATTCAAAGCTAAAATGGTGAATACCAAAGTTTCACTAGTCTAACGACAATCTTTACAAAACTGGGAAATTACTAGTGAGTTGCAAATTGTACACCAAGTTGGCTGAACTGGGAGGAGGGAGCAATTTTGCTTTCCCCTGGTTGATTGCAAACTTTAGTTCAAAATATACAAGTTGAAAAATAGGAGTTGGAGACCCTTTTCTATAAATATATGTATGTGTATGTATTTGGTTATCGATTTGCAGTTCCCTTTTCAATTCTCTGTAATTCTAAGTTTGGTGAATAGTGATGTCCCGAATGGTTCGCCACCAACGGTTCGCTTCGGACTCCTCATTGAGTAAACTTTGACCCTGTAACTCACAGTCAGCAGACACATTCCAGCCAATCAGCAGCAGACCCTCCCACCCCCTGGACAGCTCACTAAGAATGCAGCTTCAAAATGGACGCTGTCCAGGAGGTGGGAGGGTCTGGGAGGGAGGGTCTGCTGCTGATTGTCTGGAATGTGTCTGCTGACTGTGAGGTACAGGGTCAAAGTTTACTCCATGATGAGTCCGTAGCGAACCGTTCGGGACATCACTATTGGTGAATAAAACCCATTGTATAATGGTTACAAAATGCATAACTATTTCAGTGTGAATAACGTTATAAATTATTTTTTTAATTTTTTTATACCAGTTATATCTTTGGCAAATAGAAAATGCATCACTACCTTTTAAGTGCAGTGGAAATGTTCTTGGATATATAGATGCTACTTGGTCCTAAAGAAACTGTTAAGAGCACCTAGTAGAAATGTCTGAGACTTTTTTCTTTTCTTTTTCTTCCTTTTTTTTTTTTTAATTTTTTTTATTATTCCCCCACTAAGTTTGATATAGAACAAGGGGACCGTGCCAGTAGCCTACTAGCACCATAACCACTCTAAGAGGCGGTTTTACTTATAATGCTTAGATTGCCCCTTTAAGCAAGCATTGTTCGAATTTGCACATGTACTCAAACAGTTTGGTGTCACTAATAAAAAAAAAAAAATAGAATAAAAAGTGCTCATTCACTAATTTAGGAATGGAGTACATTGACAAAGGAAATTGCACATTTTAAGCCAAAATAGCAGAATTGGAAAATACTTCAACTTTTTAAATACTATTTGTAATGTCCTTGTATATAAACCATTCCTAGGTTGGTAAATAAACCAAATATTGTATGGGAAATTTTTTTTTTTGGAAGGGGTCTTTATATATATATATACTTATCTGTATATTCTATGTGTAGGTTACTTTTCTAAAGCTTATGTGTATTTAACATGACTTCACAGTAATGTGCATGTTTGTGGTGTTTTTTTCCTTTTGATATTTTTGCATGAGAAAAATTAAAGCTGGCAGTCTTTTAATTTTTTCTTTTATTATTTGATGCAAAATCAGAAATGGGCTTCAGTTGACAAATGCAAGTGAGATACACGAACATGTAAATATGATTTAAAGGGATCTCCATACAGATAAAGTACTTCAGTTATCTTTGTGACAATTTATAAAAATGCAGATTGCAATAGAAATTGGCTTTTAGATTTAGGGGCAGAAACCCCTCCATGGCTGTCAAGAAGTCCCCCCCCCCAAAAAAAAAAAACACCAATGGGAAAAATGTGTACATTTAGAACTGTAGATAGAAAAGAGTGCTCTAAATTTTCATAACTTAGCAAAAATATAGATAACTACAGATATAAATTAAGCAAGATATAGGGCAATATTAAACTATTGCACTCACATACATTGAAGGAAATCCCTTTTCTGTTAGCTGCTTTTATAACCCCGAAGAGGGCAAAACATCTGGACAAAATGCATAGGGTGGTTTATATTTTGTTATTTACCTACCTATGCAAGCGGGGATTCTTTGGGTACTCTGGGAATTGGTTTGTAGACTGAAGTCCTTGCTGTCGTGGTGAGAGTTTTATTAAAGGATCAGTTTGGATAACCTGCACTATTGGTTTTTAACTTAAATATTGTTTCAGTGTGTGTGTGTGTATGTATGTATGTATGTATATATATATGTGTGTTTCTCTCTATCACATACCCAATATTGGGTGATATTCCTTTCAATTAATATCTCCCTTCTGAGTGCAATAGTTTATTGAATATACGGGTGTTCATTTGGTATTGCCCTATATATTTATTTTATATCTGTAGATTCATTACAGACTGTAGCCAATCAGGAGCGGGTTACAATAATCCATGCAGGAAATTACTAGAGCATGGACAAGCTTGGTAGTATCTTTTGTAAGAAAGGAGACAGATGCGGGCTCTGTTTTTAAGTTGGAATCTACAGCATTTGGCAACATACTGGATGTGAGGCTCAAAGGTGCGGCCAGAGTCAAGTATGACGCCAAGACAGCGCACTGACTTGAAGGGAGAGTGAGAGAGGAGGATCAGTATTAGGAGGAGGAAAGAAAAGGAGCTCAGTTTTAGAGAGATTGAATTTTAGAAAGCGGGAGGACATCCAGTCAGAGATAGAAGAAAGGCAAGCAGTGACATGTTGCAGGACGGCAGGGGAGAGGTCTGGGGAGGAGAGAGATATCTGGGTGTCATCAGCATACAGGTGGTAGTGGAATCCAAAAGAGGTAATAAGTTTGCCAAGAGAGGCAGTGTAAAGAGAAAATAGAAGGGGACCAAAGACAGAGCCTTGGGGGACTCCAACTGAGACAGGACAAAGGGAGGAGGTATCATTAGAAAAGGAGACACTGAATGAGTGTTGGGAGGGAAGAGGAAAGCCATGAGAGCACAGAGTCACAGAGACCGAGTGATTGAAGAGTTTGAAGAAGGAGAGCATGAACAACAGTGCCAAAGGCAGCAGAGAGGTCAAGAAGAATTAGTATGGAGTAGTGCCCTTTGGATTTAGCTGCGATTAGGGCGTTAGTAACTTTGAAAAGAGCAGTCTCAGTAGCGTGGAGAAGGGGCGGAAGCCAGACTGAAGAGGGTCAAGGAGAGCGTTAGAATTGAGGAAGTAAGACACACGGGCAAAGACAAGTCTTTTCAGAAGCTTTGAGGAAAAAGGGAGCAGGGATATGGGACGATAGTTAGAGGGCGTGGACGGGTCTCGAGATGGTTTTTTTTTTCAGGATAAGTACTACAGTGGCATGGTTAAGAGCTGCAGGGACAATGCCAGAACAAAGAGCAGTTGAAAATGATACATCTCTCTTTCCCACTGCTTCATTATTCTCCACTTTTCTGTCACTGCACAAGATCACAAGATAAAACATGATGGAACAGATCTCTTGGGTTATGAATTAGGTAAACTAGGTGTCTAAAAGAATGTTTTTACTTTTTAAAAATCATTTATTTAAGGTAAGAGAACACATCAAGTGCAGCATGGCATATAACAAGGGTCATACTATATTATTTTTTGCGGAATATAGTAATAAAAAAAAGTATATTGGGGTATAAGATAAAAATAAAACATACATAATAGAACTATATCTGCAAAGAACAATAAAGGTGACCAAGCATACAAAAAATTTAGATATTTGTATAGCAAATGTATGTATTTTAAGCTTATTTGAAGAATTTTCAAATTATTAATGGAATGCATTATGGTTCCCAGACCATGTGACCAACTGGGATCATATTAAAGATGGCAGAATACACAGTGAAAATTTCTCAAGCCATTACTTTTTTTTTCTTCTCAAGCTGCTCAAGGTAGTGCATGAAGAACTTCAGCGACTGGACTAAATCTGCTTATGCTGGAGGAGCTTAAAGATAAAACACGTCCAGCCCCCATCGCTGTCAAGCCCCATCCCATAAGCCATAAATTTTAAAGTGTTTTCATCAAGCAGTTTTCATTTTGTAGTTATAGGAGTAGTTCATGTACACATTGACAATTTCAAAATGGCTGTCAAACCACATGACGAATTAGCCAGCAGAGGTGACCAAGCATAGAGACCCGAAAATAGCCTTAAAATAGATATATTTTTGAAATTTTGCATTATTAATCATGTACACAATTTTGGCTGCAAGACCATGAGACGTGGACTTCCACCCACCTTAACTCTTATCGCCACATTTTAAGGAGTTTTTGTCAAGTGGCTTTGTTTTTAGATATTTCACAAATGCACTGCACTATGTGTTTCAAAATGGCTACCAAATCACATAACTAATTGACCATGGCAAGTATAAGAGCATACCAAGGTACGTGGATAAACAGGCAGAGAACTTGCAAGGAGTTGCATTATTTAAGAATAGTTGGAGTTTAGCAACTTGGGTCATAGAAACCAATATGGCAGCCAGGGACATAATGGGCTTCATATTGCAAAGAGAAGAGCACACTATACCTGTTTATCAGCACACTGATTTGAAAGTTTTAGTTTGCCAATTTTGATCCTAGTTATTTTAAAAAATTACGGTAATACTACTGAAGATTTTAAAATGGCTTCCAAACCACATTACTTACATCAAAACTGGATTTAGAATGCAAAAACAGTTAGTTAAGCACTGAGAGTATACTGTTGAGATATAGGTGGCTGCACACGAATCCAGAGTCAAAGCTTCCCTCTTTTCTAGAAAAATAGAGGGATGCTTGAGGAGAAGTTGAAACATGTGAGGTCTCTTTTTCATTAAGAGCAATTTGGGAGCAGAAATATTAAGATTATCATAGAGGTTAGGAAGTACTAGAGGGTGTTGTACAGTACTATTGAAGTTTGAGCCTGCTGTGTGAGGGTCAACTGTAAGGGAGTGCGTTTTCTAGTACCCTATAATCCTATACACTGATCAACCCCAACATTAAAACCATGGACAGGTGAAGTGAATAGCATTGATTA